TCCCAGCAACATTTTTTTTAAATAAAGATTACTGTTTCCCCTGTTCAATGGTCTGTACATGTCTGGGCTCTTAATTTATCCTATTAATCTATATGTCTATCCTTAGGCCATACATTGACAGATTTTTGGATGTTAAACCAACCTTGAATTCCTGGGAGAAACCTTACTTGATTATCATGTTTGTTTTTATACATTGTTGAATTCAATTGCTAACATTTTTAAAAGAATTTTTGCATCTATGCTTATGATAATATTGGTGTATAATTTTCTAATTTTTTATTTTTTGAGACAGGGTTTTGTTCTGTCATCCAAGTTGGAGTGCAGTGGTGTGATGACAGCTCACTGCAGCCTCCACTCCCAGGCTCAAGTGATCCTTCCACCTCAGCTTCCCCAGCAGCTAAAACTGAAGGCACATGCCCAGCTGATTTTTTTAAATGTTAGTACAGTTGAGGTCTTGCAATGGTGCTCAAGTTGGTCTCAAACTCCTGGACTCAAGTGATCTTCCTGCCTTGGCCTCCCAAAGTGGTGAGATTATAGGCATGAGCCACGGTGTCCAGCCTGTAATTTTCTTTTCATACAATGTCTCTGATTTTGGTATCAGGGTAATACCAGCCTCACGCAGTGAATTGAGAAGTATTCCTACCTCTTCAGTTTTCTGGCAAATTTTGTGGAAAATTGTTATTATTTCTTCCTTAAGTGTTTGATGCAACTCCCCAGTGAAGCAATCTAGGTCTTGAATTTTCTTTGTGGAACTTTTTTATCCACATATTCAATTTTAACAATAAATAAAAATAGAGCTATTCTGATTACATATTTTTCTTGCCACAGCTTTGGTAGTTTGTGCACTTCATGTTTTTGTGAGGGGTACAGTGAGTTTCTTGGAACTATGGATTTATAATATTCATCAAATTAAGAAATTTTTCAGCCATTATTTCATCAAATATTTTTTCTGTTCCCTTCTTTTTCTCCTCTTCTACCAGGACTCCAATTACATATAGCTAAGGTCCTTGTCCTACACATCACTGATATTCTTTTCATTTTTAAGTTCCTTTTTCTTTCTGTTGCACATTTTGGATCGTTTCTCCTGCTACGTCTTCAAGTTTTTTAATGTCTTCTTCTGCATTGTCTAATCTGCTGTTAACCCCACCCAGCGCTGTTGCTTAACTCCAGATAATGCTTTCATCTCTAGAGTTCAAGTTTGAGTTTTTTGATATCTTCTGTGTTTCTACATAACCTTTTGAATATATGAAGTACAGTACAATAACTGTCTTTTAAAAAATGATTTTCAACTTTTATTTTGGGTTCAGGGGTACATTTGCGGGTTTGTTACAAAGGTAAACTCGCGTCATAGGGGCTTGTTGTACAGATTATTTCATCAACCAAGTACTAAATCTAGTACCCAACAGTTATTTTTTCCTGATCCTCTCTCTCCTCCCACCTTCAAGTAGCCCCTCAGTGTCTGTTATTCCCCTGTTTGTGTCCATATTTTTTTTTTTTTGAGATGGAATCTCATTCTGTCACCCAGGCTGGAATACAGTGGCATTTCAGCTCACTGCAGTCTCCGCCTCCCAGGTCCAAGCGATTCTTGTGCCTCAGCCTCCTGAATAGCTGGGATGACAGGTACATGCCACCACACCTGGCTAATTTTTGTATTTTTAGTAGAGATGGGGTTTCACTATGTTGGCCAGGCTAGTCTTGAACTCCTGACCTCAAGTGATCCACCCGCCTCAGCCTCCCAAAGTGCTGGGATTACAGGCATGAGCCACCGTGCTCAGCCCCATGTGTTCTCATCCACAGTAACTGTCTTCACGCCTCTGCTGCACTGTTCTCCGCTCTGCGCAGATGCTGAGTTGCCTCTGACCCTAGCCCACCTGGAGTCATTTCCTCCCATGCGCACACTCACAGCAGCTGATGTGGACAGGCAACCTGAGTAGCTCTCCAGGGCTCTGGTCCTCTGTCCTGCTCACTCTGGTCCCTTAGTTCTCTAAAGACACTCAGCTGTTTCCTCAACCCAGGAAGTCCACTGGGCTCTGTCTGGGATCCCCGTTCCTGCTCTGCGGTCTGGAAATTCTCTTAAGGCAGGAAACTGGGCCAGTCATTGGCTTGCCTCATTTTTCCCAACTCGTGAGGATTACCGCCCTTCACTGCCTGGTGTCTAGTGTCTTGAACACAATTGCTTCATATATTTTGTGTTTGTTTTAGGTTGTTCAGAGAGGAGGCAGGAGGGTAAACGGGTCCTTTTTACTCCCTCTTGGCCAAGGCAAAAGTCAAAGTGAGTGAACTTTGAAAGCTGTTTCAAAACTACATTCCCTCGGTCTCATTAGCCTCTGACGTTTCTCTGAAGTTGCCAGGAAGAGGCTGTAGGGGAGATAAAGTGAAAATTGGGGGGGGATGGAATATTTACCGGCTGGACTTTTTTCTCCAGAACAGCCCTGTCCGTATAACATAGCCCTGGTCCGAGACCCAGGAAGGGCCCGGACATTCCAGTCCCAGGCATTGGGGGACCACAGAGAACCTCCATGGGCGTGCAACTCCAGACCTCCCTCTGTGCCCAGGGCCAGGCTCCAAGCAGCAATTTTCTCACTCAGCTGGGCCTGACTCCGGACTCCAGGGCTAGAGGCGTGACCAGCAGGGACCGGGACAGAGACTTCCTAGCACGAGAAGGCAATCTGGTTTCTCAGCGCTGCCTCCTTTTAAATGTGGAACCTGACTGGAACAGACACTGACCCCTTGGAGCCAGATGGAGAGAATGCTGCTTGGAGTGTGAGGTGCGGGGGAGATCTGTGCCCTTGAGCACGTGGCCTGGCTGGGGGACACCAGGGCTCTCTGGACACCTAGCGCTGGTCCCATCCTTCTCCGGACTCCGGATGATCTGGACACATGTATACACAGGGTTGTAAGGGTATATGGCCACATGTTATTCTCCAAGCATTAATACTTTTAATTCTCTGATAGTTGTTCTCCAAACATTAATCACAGTAGTAATAATATAGGGACTTCATAGAGCTTTCTTTCTTTTTTTAATGGCACAAAATAAATTTTATGTGTGTATGTGGTAATACACACATAACATAAAATTTACCATCATAACAATTTTATTTTATTTTTTGAGACACAGTTTCGCTCTTGTTGTCCAGGCAATGGTGTGATCTCGGCTCACCGCAACCTCCACCTCCCAGGTTCCAGTGATTCTCTTGCCTCAGCCTCCCGAGTAGCTGGGATTACAAGCATGCACCACCATGCCTGGCTAATTTTGTATTTTTAGTAAGGACAGGGTTTCTCCATGTTGGTCAGATTGGTCTCGAATTCCCGACCTCAGGTGATCTGCCCGCCTTGGCCTCCCAAAGTGTTGGGATTGCAGGTGTGAGCCACTGCGCCCAGCCCATAACCATTTTAAACAGTGCAATCCAGTAGCATAAAGGACATTGACAATGTTATGCAACCATCATCGCTGTCTGGTTCTAGAACATTTCATCACCACAAACTGAAACCCAGTACCCAGTAAGCAGCCACTGCCCATTCCCCTCTCCAAGCTCCAGGCAGCCACCGATCCGCTCTCCTCTGTAGGGACTGGCCTGTCCTGGAGATTTCGCATTAGTGGAGTCACACATTGGTCCTTTTGTATCTGGCTTCTCTCACTTAGCGTGTTTTCTAGGTTCACCCATGTGTAGCATGCATCAGTGCTTCCTTTTGGAGCTGAACACTATTCCACTGTGTGAACACAGCGCGTTGTGTTGATCTGTTCATCTGGACACTTCGGCTGCTTCCACCTTTTGCCTATTGTGGATGGAGCTGCTATAAACAGTAAGTCCAGATTTCTGTTTGAACACCTGTTTTCCACGCTCTGGGGTGTGCACCTAGGAGTAGAATTCCTAGATCATATGGTCACTCTGTGTTTAACCTTACTGAGGAACCTCCACAGTCTTTTCCAAAGTGGAGGCATCGTGTTACATTCCCACCAACATGCATGAGCGGTCCAGTTTCTCCACATCCTCACCAGCACTTGTGATTTTCCATTTTAAAAATGATGGCCCAGACTACTGGATATGAAGTGATAGCTCACTCTATGTATGGCTTTTTAAAAACAGCTTTATCGAGCTACAGTTCACATACTGTACAAGTGATCACGTAAAGTGTACAATGCAATGGTTTTTAGTCTCTCCACAGAGACATGCAACCAGAACCGCAGTTCATTTTAGAACATTTTCATCACCCAAAAGGGACCATGTATACTATCCCCATCACGCCTCCGCTCCCCAGACCTCTTCCCCAAGCCCCAAGAAACCACTAACCAACTGTCTCTGTAGACTCCCTTGTTCTGGATAGCTCATATCAATGGAATCATGTAATATGTGGCCTTTGGTTCCTGACCTCTTTCACTTCATCTGTTTTCAAGGTCCCCGCTTGCTGTACCATTTGTCAGCAACTTATTCTTTGTTATGGCTGAACAATATTCCATTCTATGCGTACGCCACATTTAGCTCACCCACGCGTGGGCTGATGAACCGTGGGGCTGTTTCTACCCCGTGTCTATTAGGAATAATGCCCATTTCTCCTGGATATATATGGAAATGCTGGCTCACATGATAACTCTGTGTTTAATCGTTTGAGGGACTGCCAGACCGTCATACATAGCAGTTGCACCATCTTACATTCCAGCCAGCAGTGTATGAGGGTTGATTTTTCCACATCCTCACCCACACTTACTTTTCCCATCCTATGATTACCCATCCTAGTGGGTGTTAAGTGGCATCTCACTGTGCCTTTTGATTTGTATTTCCTTTATGACTAATGACAATGAGTATCTTTTTTTTTTTTTGAGACAGAGTTTCACTCTTGTTGCCCAGGATTACAGGTGCCCACCAGCACACCCGGCTAACTTTTTGTATTTTTAGTAGAGATGGGGTTTTACCATGCTGGCCAGGCTGGTCTTGAACTCTGGGCCTCAGGTGATCCATCTGCCTCTTTACAGGTGTGAGCCACCACCCCTGGCCAGAGCCTCTTTTGTATAGTTTTAAAACTTATAGTGTTTATTTTAAGATAGTAGAAATATAGATACAAAGAATAATCTAATGAAACCACATGTTCCCACTACCAAGATTTCACATAATCATTGCTCTTTCAGACTCTCAGTGACTAAGGTTTTAGGTGCAGGTGGGTATTTCTGAGACTGGGTTTTGCAGGTTCTCTGCGAGGTTCATCTTTCCTCCCTAATATTTAAGTCGACACTCCTTCTGCTCCCAGAAGAGGAGACTCTATGCTCTCCTTGTTCTTCGGGGCTCTTTGTTGCATGCTGTCTCCAGTATCACCAGCTTCTCTCTACAAGGTCTTTCTTAGCAATATTTAAAACTGGTCTCTGTCTTTAAAAACGTCACTTCTTCCCTGCTGTGTCCCCTGGCTATTGCCTGCTTTCCTCCAACCAGCATCTATGTCATTAGTAGCACAGATGGTCCTTGAGTGACTAATGATGTCATGTTCTGATAAACTCTTGCAAGTTGAGAATATCCTATGTTTAAAATACATTAAATGCGCCTAACTTATGGAATATCATCGCTTAGCCCAGCCTTCCCTTAAATGTGCTCAGAGTACTTGCATTAGCCTTACATTTGGGCAGAATCATCTTACACGAAGCGTATTTTATAGGAAAGTGTTGACTATCTCATGTAGTTTATTGAATACTGCACTGAAGGTGAGAAATAGTGATTGTATTGGCACTCAAAGTACAATTTCTACTGAATGCTATCACTTCCATACCATCATAAAGTGAAACAGTGCTAAGTTGGGACTATCTGTACAATTTTCCTCAAATATATCTTCAATTATGCAAGCTCACCCCCAGGGTGAAAAACCTTCAGGGCTTCCTGCTTTCTCCCAGCTCCGCTGGGCCTGGGGTAGAAGCTTTTCTTCTGGGAACACAGTGCTTGTGAGAGTCTGCAGGTGGCTGCAGGACTGGGAAGGCTTCCATCCTGCTGAAAAGTACCAGCACTTAGCACAGTACCTGACACACAGTAAGTACCCAAACTATGAAGATGACGATCACCACAGGCACCCTCACCACCAGCAGTGCAGGTTGTGCCAGAGGGAAAGAACAATTCTGACAAAGCTCTGGCCATGACGTTCCCTGTGGGCACCCCTAAAGAAGCCTCCCTCTGTCACCACCCCCCCCACCAACTTGAGAATATCCAGCTTTCCCAGTGCTTCTTACAGAGGCCCCAGAGGGTCACTCTTTCCAGCAGGGTAAATTGTGGCAGTTCGTATGGCACAGGGAATGAGCACTCCCTAGCACAAAATACACCCCCCTCACCCTTCACTTGTTATTCACTGCCCCTTTGTTACTTTTTTTTTTTGAGATGGAGTCTTGCTCTGTCACGCAGGCTGGAGTGCAGTAGCACAATCTCAGCTCACTGCAACCTCTGCCTCCCACGTTCAAGCAGTTCTCATGTCTCAGCATCCCAAGTAGCTGGGACTCCAGGTGCCCACCACCATGCCCAGCTAATTTTTGTATTTTTAGTAGAGAAGAGGGTTCAACAAACTGGCAAGGCTGGTCTTGAACTCCTGACCTTGTGATCTACCCTCCTCGGCCTCCAAAGTGCTGGGATTACAGGCATGAGCCACCCCACCCAGCCCCTTTCTTGCTTCTTAAAGCTTAACCATTCCCTCCTGCACCCCACCAGGTCCCCTTCCCACAGTGCCTTCCATTTATAAAGTGATCAGGTCCAGGAGGGCCTGGGCACCATCAAACTCCAGGCCCTCTTGGAGGCTCCGAAAGAGTTAAAGGTGTGAAAGGCGAAGGGAGCCCAAGTTCTGCTGGAGACCCAGCCTCTACAGCTTTGCTAACTCAGGGTACAGGCGGGGAGACCCCAGTTTCAGGGAAATTAGGTGCTGTTTTCCAGCCTCCCCAGCTTCTTGTACTCTCGTTAGACTTGGGGGCAATTTTCCAGAGTCTGTAACCTACAAGACTGCAAGAGAAAGGGAAGGCAGGCTGGCTGAGGACATCTGCACCACGGCCCCCAGGGACGGCTCGCTCACCCCCACCAGGGGGCCACTTTGTGCCAAACCAGAGAAGGAAGGGTGGGGAGGTGGAGGCGTGGGAGGAGGGCCCAAGAACAAAAGAATCTATCAACTTGGAAAGAGGAAGTAGGTGAGGTCAGCAGTGTATGGACTGCAGGCTCCCAAGCTGATGGCACTGGCACTTTTGAGCCCTCTGCCTGCTGGGAGCTGAGCATGGGGGCTGATGGCTTGTGTTGGTGGCAGAAGAGAGGAACCAGAGGGCATGGGGGCCATCTTGCTCAGGAATCCTGTGTGACCCCCTTAAAAGTTAAGCTTTTCTCCTAGTTCTTTCCTCTGAACCAAGACCAGGCAAGCTCGCCCGACCTACGACCTACGACCTACGACCTACGACCTACG